CCTAGAGGCTGAACAGCGCATGGCAGAGCCTCCTTCTGCAGGGACCTATGGAATGAAGGAAATCTGGTGCTGGGGCAGAAAAGGACTCGATGAGAAGAGCTAGCTGGAAGTGAGAAAAAATACAAAAGGCAGCGGTGGGCCTTCTACTAAGAGCTATGCACACTGCAGCCGTGCACTGAAGCACAAAGACCAACCCAACATCCCTCCAGATACATGTTTTGGGGATTAGCACAACCTGAAGAGGAAGCAGTGCAATGCAAGGAGTAATTTAGCAACGTGTTATCCAAGAGCAGCGGAGCTTATCAAACGCCATTCCATTCTGCCACCGTTTTCCCTCTGTGCTCCTCGTTTCCAATAGACCAGCCACATTCAGTAAATTCCACAGCACTAATAAATAACACAAGCTCCCAATATGCTGCAAACGGAACCTGGTGCCAGTAACTGGCAAGTTACTCTGATTTAACCAAGGGGTTCAAATTCACAAGGAGCAATACGTGAAGGGTCCCAATACAGAACTCCAACAGCTTTTTAAATCTTTCCTTTCATGGCTCAGGCAGAAAGGGAGCTTACGGACAGAAGCAAACAACGGCAGGGTTTCCAAAACCCTGGAAATCTTACCTGCCGCAAGAACTGCTTGCCGAGATAGCTGGTCGCCATGCTGGTCAGGTTCTTCCTACTGCCAACTTTGCACCTGATGTAACCATAGAGGTTGGCTCCCTGGAGAACTACTCCCATTATAACCACTGCCTAGGACACAGGAAAAGCTGCAGTTGATTTACACCGACTTATTGGCAACATGCAAAATCTATCACTGAGCTGAGGGAGGCAACTCACCAGCCACTTCACTTTGAAAGAAAAGAGAGCACTGAAAGCAAATATCACCCAGATCATCGGACAGCTAATTAGACCTAACCAGAAAATTCGGGACTCTGCTTCCGAGGAGGCTTTACTCCCTTGTGCTGATACCTGGAAACAGAAAGTAAATGAAGATTAGCAGGCTGCTCTATCATATAGATCACATCATTAAAAGCAGACCAGACTTTACAAGCCTTCTGAGTTTTGCCTCCATACAACATTACTGGGTGCTTTCCAGGCCAACTTCTACATCACTAAGATATTTCTGTAACAGAAGATGTTTCCATTTAAAGGGCCCTTTTGTCAATCTTCTGTCAGAAACAGAGGAGGCAGTAGCAACAAATCCTCTTGGAATATCTGGGGCTAAAAGGCCATAGTAAACTGGGGAAGCATTGCGTTTACCGCGTGATTGTTACAAACCACAGAAGCAGCCAGATGTTTTCCACCTTCGTATCATTTACAGACAACCAGAATATCACCCAGCCTACCACTTGGAGAATACTGATACACCCAGCCATCAAACCAGGGTAATTTTTACAGGCACACCTGATTCACACCATTGATTTTATAAAAACTTTATTGAGCAGAATATCCCAATCAAGCATTCACTTCTTCCTATCAATAGCTAAAAAACCTAGACTGGCTATACAACGTATGACTAAACTTTTTTTTTAAATCACTCCCTAACATGTTTGTTTTTCTAAATTAGCACAGTTTTGCAAAAGAATGTGCCTGCAGTAAGGGCACAAATTCAGCTGGAGAAAGAGACCTGACCCTAACCCTACACCGCTACAGACTGCAGGAAATGAGCTGTACCTCGAACCAGAACTGCACACCAGAAGTGCTGTTAGCTCCACGCATACAGAGGTCAGAGACAAGGACCAGAAGAGTAGGTATGTGACATGATGTGAGGTGCTAACAAGAGGCACAGCAGTAGCCCTACCGAATGCAAGGGAGCAGCAGCAACCACAAAGAAGGCTTTATGTTGCTCCCTAGTTCCCATAATTTTCAACAGGCTGCAAGAAGTGTATCAGCTGTTCCACATTCACACCAGAAAATGTCTATGTTATTGATGTGATGTGGGAACCTTCACTGCATTTTATATGAACCAGTTACTTGCATGAAGTCAGATCGGTACACCATGAGATTTTTTTTAAATAAACCAAAAATAAAAAAATTTGAAGTCATCCTCATTCGGTAGCCCACATGAAACAAGCAGGTGGGTACAGATCTGTGGCTGGAAGTACAGGTCTGAATTATGCAATTTACCATCACAAGCATAACTGGTAACTAACAGGGGTTTGATAAAACTGAAACAATAAAAAGAAATAAAAAAGGAATTTACCTTTCTGGATTCAAATATCCACTGACTTCTACCATCATCATCCACCTGGTTCCACCAGCGAAGGCCAACCATTAGTCGCCCTGTGACATTCTGAAATTTAAAAAAAGAGCCACGAGCTTTCAATTTGCTGCTAAGAAAACCCATTAGACAAACAAATCCTTGGAAGCGTTCCATCTCAGCACCAGACCCAGGAAGAAATGGCAGCTTTCAACCCCAGACTTCATCGTTGTCAGCTCTAAAAGGAGCTTTAAATGTTGCTGGCAGCAAATGCTACTTCTTACACCAGCAGCAGCAGCTGGAGTAGACTTCACACTAGTCTGCGCTCTCAGTGGCTGCACTAGTTAACAACGCTGGCTGTATTTTAGCATGACAGGCATCACACTGTAAAGATCTTGTATTTTGTTGCTCTTAATCTTGCCAAAGTTCAGCTGCTTGGGTTGCTGCTTTCAACACTGCTCTTTTGCCCCATGTGAGAAAACAAGATTATGAAATTTTTACATCCATAGCAGTCTGTTTTCTGGTATGTTTAGTATAACAATAAATTATTGTAGTTACATAAATGAGGCATATTTGTGGTGATTCTTCTAAAGGGATCCTCCTTATAACAAAGCTTGCATTACCTTAAAAGGAAAGCTGACATAACTTCTGTTTGAAAATAGAGAAAGTAACTACACAGATTTGAATTATTATTTCATAATGCTTTGCAATGCACCACAGTACTTGGGGGTATCTCAGGTATCATTCTGGTAGAAAGGCACAAAGAAGCTACTTTTGGGGGGACATGAGCATCACCCTGTTCAATTATTCTTATATAACTAGGCAAAGATAACAAAATTCTTAGAGGATCTTACCTTTACAGCCCAAAAGTCACATGACAAGAGGAGGATAATTGTCACCATGCAGGCAATAAAGCTGCTAGTTAAGAGCTCACAGAGCAGATAGACAACTATCGCACTGACTCGGAAGAACAAGTGGAAAAATGATGCCACCGGATGCCTGGAACGAAGCACAGCACAGTCACAGCTCTTTCAGACAAGACTGAAGCAATTTCAGAGAAATGACACTGCAAGGTGATCCTCTCCCACCAACTCAACAGCTAAGGACCAGCATCGTTACATGAAAATAGCGTGCAATAACCGCCAAAAATAGAGGGAATAAACTGACTGGGAGCTCATCGTAAGGAGGTCACATCCCAATTGCAGCCACATCCTGGGTGCAAAGAGAATTGGGTGAGGAAGGGACGTGGGAATTTCACCTGGTGTTTTACAGGGTACATTTGAAAACGGTTTTCTGTCTGAAGAACCACCAGGTGACCTGAAGAAAGCTCCCATTTCTCGCCGTGCCAGCCGTGCCCTTCCTTAGCCCTTACACATCCCCAGCTCAGAACCGCGCAGCGCTGAGGCCAGCCCCCACCGGGCTGGGGGCAGGAAGCCGCGTGCTGGGACCCAGCGGCCGCCCCCTGCTGCCCCCTCACCTCAGCTTCGCCTTCTTGGCTCTCCGGGACGCCTCATCGTCCGCGTCGAACAGGGACACGTCCTCGATGTCGTCGCCGCTGTCCTGAGGGGGGGGGGACACACACGGGAGCGGTCAGGCCGAGGGGCGCCGCCACCCCCCCCCCCGCCTCGCGCCTCACCCGACCGCGGCCCCAGCCCCGCGGCGAGCCCGAGCCCACCCCCACGGCTCCCACGGCTCCCCACGGCCGAGGGCAGCGCCCGGGACCCCCCCCCGGTTATCAGGAGCGGTGCGGGACGGGCCCGGCCCAGGGGGGGGCCCGGGGGTCGTCGCCGCCCCCCCCCTCCCCTCAGCCCGGCCCCTACCTGCCGCAGCATGGCCGCGGCCCCTCGCTTCCGCCCGGCCGCGCCACGTCACCGCCTCCCGCCAATCCCCAGGGAGGGGGCGGCGGGGCCGCGCCTGCGCGCTGCGGGGGGGTGACGCCGAGGGGGAGGTGGAAGGGCGGAAGTTGTGGGGGGGGAAGGGGGAGGCGCTGTGAGGGCCCGTGGCGGGTTTCTTGTCAGAAGGGGCCCTCCTGTGGCGGATGGGGTCCCTGCTGCCTCCAGGCTGAGAGCTGCGCTCAGCCCAAGCCCCTGCAGGCAGTTACAGTGTGCCCATTGCCAACCTCCTGCCCTCCCTCAGCCCCTGCCCGTGAAGGACTCACAGAATCACAGAATTTCTAGGTTGGAAGAGACCTCAAGATCATCGAGTCCAACCTCTGACCTAACACTAACAGTCCCCACTAAACCATATCCCTGAGCTCTACATCTAAACGTCTTTTAAAGATTTCCAGGGATGGTGACTCCACCACCTCCCTGGGCAGCCTGTTCCAGTGCCTCACAACCCTTTCGGTATAGAAGTTCGTCCTAAGATCCAACCTACTCCAGCAGTAAAACCCAATTACCACAGCCCGACTCACCCATCTTCACCACTTTCTGCCGCCCGTGTAGTTTTACACTGACGCTCAGTACTTATTACCAGTTTGTTATAATTTTGGGGGGTACAACTATTGTTATTGGTCACTAAACAAAGCCCAGGGACTGAAGCTGGAGAACACGTTAGTTGTTTTTCTGTTTTTCAATCACCACCCTGCTGCCTGGGGGTCCCACAGGCATTCACCTCAAACCAGAACTGCTGCCTCCAGGACCACGGGCAGAAGGATCCTGCCCCCAGCCTCTAATGCAAGGAAATAGCAGATTTCTGGTACTCTGGCCCAGAAGCTCAAAGCTGTACAACTGGGCGAATTTTTGTCTTCCCAGCTCAAGCCAGTTCAGGTCCTGAATATTAGCAGAAACCATGCACGTTTAGGTGTTTATCCACAGAAATAAAGGAATACAAACCACTACCTCTATTTGGTTTAAACACAGCAATTATTTTCTCAGCCCATATTTCTTTAGCTTATAAACTCTAGTCAGTGTATATAAACTTGAACAATAAAAATCTCCATTCAAACAGCTGAGCCGTATCTTTTGTATAGTAGTTTTCCAACAACAGTGCTGTGTTTATAGTGACAACAGCTCTAGCAAGATCAACCCCAGGTGTGGCTTTATCCAGGAGTCACTCCATTCACTACCTTGAGAAAGAGATGAAGGTACCAATAATGATTCTTAGGCAAACTTACAAGAGAGATGTCTTTCATACTTATTTAGAAACCACAGGGATCTTGACACAGCAGGCTCAGCTGGACACCATAAGGGAGCTGCCATGATTGTGAAGCCCCAGATACCAGTGATTTGTTGGAGTACTCGGTTATCTCAGATAAAAGTATTAAGTCCAAGTTCAGGAGCAGGTATCTTCCCCTCCTTAGTAAAAGAGTCTGTGGGTAGGCCTTTAGCTTTCCTTAACCAGGCCTTCTTGCAAGCTTTTTGATGATCTTCTAAGAGCTTTGCCTGGTTTGCCTGACACTGTGCTATAGTAGCTGCCTCGTGTGCCTCCTTCTGGTTTCCTGTCAGAAGCCTGAACCCACCGTCAGTCTGGACGGAAAATGCACAAAAGGGCTTATTTCCCCCGTAAACTGCTTCATTTTTCATTTGTGCCATCCTTGCGTGTGTTGACTTGATCAGTTCAGAGGTTGTACAGAGATTGCTAAGCTGACCCCGCTCTTCAGGGCAAGGAGTGACTTTACCGTGACCACTGTGAGCTTTCTTTTCCTGTAGCAAACCACCACGTGTCTTGGGACGTACAATGCATGGAGTGGGAATGGAGGAACTCACAGTGGGTCCATGCAAAGAATTTTTCAGTTTGAGCTGCAGCATTTTGGTTTCGAAGGGTGTAGAAATTCTTTTCATAGTCAGAGAATCACTGCGAGATCTCACACACTGGAGCCGGGCTGTCTGATCCTGTTTGTGCTGCAGAGAGGTTTTGTATATTTGCCTTTTTTCAAGGCATCGTTGCTGATGCAGCGGAGCTTCCCAGGCTTTCCCAGTTGCTATAGAAGGCTTTGTACTGGAGCGGACAAAGGACGACTTGCAGCTCTTCCGCAGCATGTTGACAGTTAAGAGGAACTTGTAAGAGGACACTAGATAATATGAGTCCTTTTTCTTTTTGTGCTGCTGCATGGCTTCTGCCATGTCAGGATGTTCAGGTACATAGACAGGAGTGCCGTATTCAGATGTGCCATCTGTTTTCAAAAACAAAACAACACTGAATGTAACTGGACACAAGGATATCACCTGTGATCACTGTTGGCAGGGCAGTACTCTGAGTAAGACCAGGGATGTGTGCTGGGTTGATAGGCATGCAGACAGTCCACGCTTATCTACAGAACAGGCAATGCAGGCAACACACCAACGAAGCCCATTTCAGCTTGTTCATCTTTAGCCTTACCAGCAACACTGTCAGCACCTGAGGTAATTCTGCCTTGGTGACCTGAGGAGTGTTCATTGCCATAGTCTGTACAGGTCAAACAAAAGGCTGTAATTCTGTAACACAAGTTTTATTTATGTGGGGATGGCCTGGTATCCACCTCGTTTGAAGCTATGGTTTCTAAGAAGAATGAGGTTTCTCCACCACTACTTCCCACGCACCCCTTTCTTGTCCTAGAGTTTGTGCATTGGGAAAAGGCTTCAAGAAAAGGCAGTTCCTGGTAGAAATATGAAAAAGCCAACATCCAAGAACCACTCTGAACTACTACTACTCAGAGCTGCATTTGAGTTGGAAGTCACAAGGCACGCTTCACAGTCTAGCTTTAATGTCTGAAGTGATGTCAGGAGTAACCTGTGTTGTTTAACAGACACATTGGGATGGATTGTGTAATTATGCCATCAACTAAAAGCCAAGTGGAGATTTTAACAAAGATTGTACAGCACTCGGTGCCACAGCCTCACCATAGCAGTTAATTTGTCCCATTGCAAAGCAAAGTCATGCTGTTTGCATGTAATTGCTTTGCTGTTATTGCTAACCTGGTTAATTGAAGCTTCTGCCATCTGGAAATGTATTTCAGAGAACATTAAGTTACAGTTTGGAAAGGCAGAATACAGCAAAACAGACTAGTCATAGAATAGCCTGAGTTGGAGGGGACCAACAAGGACCATCGAGTTCAACTCGTGGCTCCACGCAGAACCACCCAGAAACCAACCCCTGCATCTGAGAGCGGTGTCCAAGCGTTTCTTGAACTCCACCAGGCTCGGTGCAATGCCCACTGCCCTGGGGAGCCTGTTCCAGTGCCTAAGCATCCTCTTACACTCAGCCTGATCATCTCCTGCCCCAGCTCCATGCCGTTCCCTCAGGTCCTGTCACTGTCCCCAGAGAGCAGAGCCTGCCCCTCCGCTCCCTGTGAGGGAGCTGCAGGCCGCCATGAGGCCTCCCCTTGGCCTGCTCTGCTTGGGGCTGAACAAACCCAGGGACCTCAGCTGCTCCTCACACGTCTTCTCCTCTAGACCCCTCACCATCTTTGTAGACTTCCTCTAGAAGCTCTCCAGGAGTTTTGTGTCCTTCTTGCATTGGGGTGCCCAGAACTGCACCCAGCACTCGAGGCGAGGCTGCAGCAGAGCGGGACAACCCCTTCCCTCCTTTCAGTGTCTGTCAAACTCTAAGATCCAACAGATTCTGAATTTAAAACCTGGGAGAAACTGTAAGTTTAGGAAAGAAATGCCATGTGACCAAGAACCACATTTGTGATCTCAGTGCTAACATTTTCAAATTCTAGGTTGGCATGTTGCTGGCAACAATGGGACAATTTCCAGTGTAATATTTTAAACAGGATTTTCTGAGTAGCTGCTATCTATAAGTACTAAGTACCTGAACATATTTTGTACAGAATTCTCCTGCACATGATAAAGATATCAAAAACAGAATAAGGATATGGCAAAAAAAAAAAAAAAAAAGAAAAAAGCCTGGACACCAGAGAACAAGGCTTTATAGTTGGAGTTGATCACTTGTCCTATTTGATTGATTTAAAGCAGCTTTCGCAGACTCTGTAAATGATCTGTTGTACCACCGCAAACCTTTCATCCAAAATGACTTTGTTTTCTAGAGGTCGCTACCTTTTGTTTAATCCATTTATCCATCTTAGGTGCACTTACTTGAAGAACCACTGCCCTACCTCGCTGTGACAAGTTCTTACCAGCACCTGCCAGGATCCTTACTGAACATGCTCTCGCTGGCCGTCTCAAAGCAAAAGCATGGGGCTGTTGGTTACCAGGAATGAAAAGCTCTTGCTGTTGCTGTGCCTGAACGTGGAAAGTCCTTGTGCTCTCCTGTTGCTTGCAAGCTGCTGTTTTTTCAGTTCATCATAGAGAGATAGAAAACAAAAGAATACAACATCTCTAAGCTTTGCTGGTGTTAAAAAAAAATAAAAAATAAAAAAATCTTAAAAACTGATGAGATTTCAAGTCTCTGGTTACTGCTTTACCTTTTATCACAGTTCTGAAGATACAGGTGTTAAAAATAATCCACAAGTGTTTGAATTCAGAGAGGACAGCAAAGACTGACTTTTAAAAAGTATTAATTGCATGTATATACAACCCATATTTTTGCCCCAAATATTAAAATATTCCATTCCCTTTTTCTGCAAACTGTACATCTTGCACCAAGTACCGCTGTATCGAGGTAGCTGGCATTTGATGGTCTGAAAACTTTCTCAGCCCATCAGTTTATCTGCAACATACAGTTTGATCACAGAACTGGAGAATCATGGTACTGTATTAAGTACCTACTGATTTCTAAAATCTACATTATATTACAATGTAAAAGGAGCCTCCTTATGTGCAACCACATTTCCCTGCAGTGGTAGATTCTGGATGTGGTGTCCAGTGCCTTTCTGGGAACTTTAATAAATAACACAAGCACTGAATCAACAGCATGTTTCCATGCACACCAGCTGTAAGAATATGAATAACAGTACTGAAGTATTACTTAGCTGAAAAAATGACTATTGTCTTAAGTGTGCTGAATTTACACCAAACCTCTCTAGAAGTACGAAGGTTTTACTAAAGCCTAGAAACAACAGAACCACTGAAATGCAATCTACCCAAATGTACTTTAAAAAAGTGGAAAGTCCAACTGTTGATTAGGATGAAGGCCCTGGGTACTTGAAACTATTTCTAACTCATTTCAGAAAGCAAAGTCAGTGCATTGCAAAGGCTGAGTGTAGTATTTTGAGGCACTCCACAGTGTTTTGGCAGGCAGCTGTGGATCAAGCAAGACAGCGTGAGCTGGTCAGCACCTTGCGTCTGCAGAGCGAGGTGATGCGTCTGGCCAAGGACGTGGCACTTGTTTTGCTGGGAGTGAGACAGTGTTCTGCTCAGAGGACAGGTCCCCTGCTTTTCCTTCCGCACCATCTCTCGGTCAGCAGCTAGGGTATAGTCCCACCTGACATCCTCAAACTGGAACATCAGCAGGCTACTGGGTGCATTGATCACCATCCTAGAGAAGGAAAGAAAAAGCTCGTCAAAGCAGAGGTATCATTAACACAGCAGATATTACCTAAAGGGCCCATTTGCTTGTGTGTAATACAAAACCTGAGGGTAATTAAACAGAACTGAGATAACAATCACTCCCCTTTAGGGAAGGGAAAAGCATTAGCACTTAGTCCCATCAATCAGATGCTGTACTTTTAACTCACAGAGTCTGCATGAGCTCTGTGGTGCTCTTCTCATTTCTCTCTACAAACAACTTCATTTAAAAATAATTAGGATGAAAGTTAGTGAAATTAATGAAATAATTAGGATGAAGCTGTCCCAACAGTGGAGTTAGATCAGTGTAATGCCAAAATAAATTGTAGGTACCATATTATCGGGGACATTTAAACCTGAATTAGATGGGTGCCCTGGGTCTGGCTGAGATGGAGTTAGTTTTCTTCCTAGCAGCCTACCTACTGCTGTGTTCTAGAGTTGCGACTAAAACAGTGTTACTAACACACCGTTGTTTTAAGCTATCACTTACACCGGAGCTGGGAACCACCTTTAGTTTAGAGGTGTGGGCATGAAGGAACCTGGAACGATTTTCCATCGGGAGCAGGTAAAGGCTTTGCCAGACCTTGGCTTGATTATTCAACCTCTTAAGAAATGTAGGTTCTGAAAGTGGCTTTACGGTTGGGTTTTTGTCTTAAATAGTAGAGAAACAGAAATGTATAGTCTGCTGAATGGACTAAGCAAATAATTTTCAACCATTTTTAATAAGAATTAGTTACCAAAGCAGTCCATAAGCATTAGAGTCCTTTAAACCTTATTTGTTAGACAGACAGTAGAAGGAAAAATACTTAATTCCTTAAATTACAGCATAATCTACCTAATTCAGTAGAGAGACTGATTGCAAGTTTTGTCACCAACCTGTTTCCTGCAACACAGAAAGATACCGGTTCCCCTCTGCTACTGGCCACCAACACTTTCAGGCAGCTTCCAGTCAGGTAGTTAAATATACGAATCTTTCCATCAGCACAGCCACTGACAACTCTGAGATAGAGAAACTCCAGAGACAGAACTTCCCTGAAAACACAACATGCAACTGTTGGTATGATCATCATGCCTTCTTCACAAGGAGACAAGATCAGCTACCTCATCTTGCAGGAGATGCAGTTGCCTGCCTCCATAACAAGCCAAAAAAAAAAAAAAAAAAGAGGAAAAAACCCAAACACTCAACATCCTCAGAACCACCACTGTGGTTATGACCATCTATTCCATGTTAAGTTTCATTTTTATGTTTAGGAAAGTGAATGAAGACACTAAGATGCAACATTTTCACAGATCTACAAAATGACATCATACATAGTTGGTAGGGTTCAGCACATAACACAGCCACTGCAAAAGAATACAGCATCTCTTCTTTACCAGTTAGCATGACATCCAGTTGGTTATAGGTTGGGATCCTTGAAGTTTTAGACTACACACTGTTACTGTCTTAAGTCACCCGTTTGTGAGCCAGTGGCTGTGTATTTGGTTGTTATGCCACAAACTTTGTTTATAACTATGGATTGCCTGACACTTTTTAAGATGACTGCTGAAGGAGGATATTTCAGGTTCTAGGACTGACAACTAAGCTATTTTGTGTTGCTGTAAGGGAAAAGTTGTTTTGTTTTGTTTTGTTTTTTACAGTGTGCTGTTGAATACACCTTGAAACACACTGATACCTACTTTGGGTGGCGGAAGGCTGTTAGGCATCTCTTAAGGTCTCCCACCATGCTCCATCCCAAGGCATATCCATCAGAGCTTCCTGTGACGAGGTGCCACTGATCAAAGGACAAGCACTTCACTGGACCCTGGTGCCCTTCCAATATCTGAGAGTAAAAGAAAGAGGTGCAACACTGTCAGCAGTCCGGATGTAAACATGCCAGGAGATCTTACGGCACTCAATACCATCCTCATATACTATATTGTTTTATCAGGTGTCAGTGCAATATACAAATATACCCTGGGGATAACTGCATTACTTTGACAGTCCCTTAAAAGTCATATTCTGGGCTTGTTGCTGATGAGTTTCCATCATCATTATATAAGCTCAGTAGATGTTGGTGTACTGGGATATTTGTGATCTGCTGGGTGTTCACACCAGAACAGTGGGCTGCCCTGACCGTGGTGGAAGGGCACCTCCAGCCCTAAAAGCTGTTAGTTAAACCCTCCCACTCTCCTCTTAGGTTCTGAATGTTCCTGCAAGAGCAGACAGATGCATCTACAAAGATTAAATAATGAATGCATTTAAAAGAAAGGCAAATCAAAACCCAGATTAGAATTTAGTTGTTTGAAAATCAGTTTTTAATATTATTCTTTTTATCTATAATCCTGCAGTTCATTAGCTTAGACTGTTTTGTCTTTTTATTTTTTAAGAAAGTCTTTGGAACAAGAAGAAGTCTATGATAAGATTTTTGATAGTTTAGCACAAAGTTATCTACCTAAGAAACTTACTTTGACCAGAGCACCTGTCTCAGCAAGCCAGACTTTCACCAGCCCTCTGTCACAGCCGCTGACAACATGGACCCCATCCATTTTAACACAAACAACATCGTTGTGTTTTAGAGTCTTGAGACATACCCCACTATCCAAGTTCCACACTGTCAGGATTAAAAGGGAGAAATATTAGGAGTCTTCCCCAGTGGTATATTTTTTTCTGAGTGCAATATGAACTAAAAGATGCTACTGGAATTACAGCTGCACCTTGTACCTGCAGCTCTGCTTGGAGCCAGGTGTTGACTTAAGAGTGCAATTACATGGCAAATTTCTTAAATACAAAGCCCTGAGATGGCACATCCTTTTAATTCTTAATCTATAAGCAGGTAACAAGGCAACCTTTGGCAAAGCTGCAAGCTGATACCACTCTCCCAAGACTGGCCCTACAGCCCTAAAACCATTAGATCCAAATAAAAGCAACAGTAATAAGCATCTGCAGTGACACAAGGGACCTTGTGTGTGCATATGTCCCCAGCTTAGATTGTTCTGGAAGCAGTAATACAAGACATTAAAATTCACCCTCTGATTTATACACTTGTTTTCAGACTCACACTGCACCCCACAACTCCCAGGTGCTCAGCCCATTTGCTGCTGCCATTTGCCCTTGTCTGTGCAGCTCCCCTTAGCTCTCACCTTTCACCATCCCATCTCTGGCTCCTGACACAAGCCTCCTTTCATGTACATCCAAGCAGATGATTGTCCCGCAGTGACCATTGAAGATTTTCATGCAAGCACCACTGAATATATCCCAGCATCTACACAGCAAGGACCAGAAAGGAAATCCAGTGATTAACAACTTGATTAATGACTTCTTATTTCCTACTTAACAGGCCCAGCTCATCTCACACCCATGCCAGGTCAAAATCAGGAGGCAGCCCACTGAGGTAATGAGGATTCAGAACAATCAAGTCAGGCTTAGTGTTAAATTTTTACATTTAGTTTGTTCTTCCACCTCCAAATTGCCTCGAAATGTGTAGCTGGATTTCACCTCTGGCTTGGCTACTTTCAATTAACCTTCAAAAGCAGAGCTTTACAGATAAAGTTATTTCTTTACTGGCCGGTGCCAAGATGATTTCTGTCGACTTTATCTTGAGAATTCAAGCATGCACTTGAACAAACAGCCCTCTTGGGTAGGGGAAGGGCAGGCAGGACAGAGCCTGAATCACTACAGCTCTTTCCCTTGTTGTTAAGTGCTGTCTTTGAGGAAGATTTACGCTTGCCATGCCAGAGCTGTGGAGCTTTTCACCCCTCATCACAACACCCTTGAGATTCAGTGATAAATAAGACGTAGCAGCTGCTCATCTCCACTCCTTGTGTCAACACGCTGGACATGGGCAGGAGCTACCAGGGTGCTGGATCTGCTCAGCACAACAAGACTTCTATAGTGTCATGGAGAAACAGGTACTGACCTCAGCAGGGCCAGAGCCTCACTGCAGGCACCTACCAGACACATACCTGGTGTTTTAAGATACAGAGGTTTTAAGAAAGTATCTTCCTATTTTATCATTCAATATCAGGTGAAACTGGAAAACAGGAGTTCTAGGGGGGATGTGTTTCATTATCAGCTTTCCTTTCTTTAGTACTCCAATGAAAGTGATGGGAAGGATTCATAAAGATTGGGGTGGTTAAGCTCCATTTTTCATGGATGGTAGCTGAGGCACAGGCCCAGGGAAGCTCACCTGATGCTGAGGTCGAAGCTTGCACTAAAAACAAACCCTTTCTTCTCATCAAGGAGCAGTGCTTTGATGCTTCCAGCATGGCCAGAGAGCAGAGGTGGCACTTCTCTCATTTCTGATATATCAAAAAAACTCACTTTTTGGTCTGTAGAGCCAATGGCTACCAAGTCTCCACCGCTGTAGTGAATTACCCTGTTTTGGTCTGATCTGGATAAGAAACAGTGATTAATGTGAGCATTCGCCAGTTAACAAGGTCTAGAGGGGCTCGATACTGAGAGCTCCTCAAAGAGCAACTCGGTGGGCAATCTGCTTCAGGAGGCAGATCCTTTGCAGGGCACCACAACCAGGCCCCTAGTTCTGCATACCCAGGTTTGTATCTGGAGGGTAAACTTGAAGAAGGGCAGGGGGTCCTCCCAGCCCCAAATCCCTTGTGATACTCCATAGATCCTAATCCTTGAATCTTCAAAAGTGACTGACTTTAGTATCTTTATAAAAAATGGATTTGATACTGAGGGCTGTTCATCAGTGACACTGAGACCCTCCTCCAGCCATACATGTCCACTAAAGGATTGCAAGGAACAGGACAAGTTTTCAGAAGCCAATGTTTGGCTCTACAGGGGTAGTGCAGAAAGCAGCCGGGCACAGCCTGCGTACCGGTCAGTGAGAACACGAATGTTGTAGGAGCCACAGAAAACGTTCCTCTCTTCCAGCTGGATCGTGTCAGTTTGCAGATCATGGTAGGCTGCCTGCAGATTGCCCTCCTCCTCCTTCTCCTGATGGAAAGAGAAATAGGGAAGTGTTACTCAGGGTAAAGGGGAACACAGCATTACTCCACAGCATTAGCCATATCATCCAGCACTTGCTCCCCAACAAGACCAATAGAGACAGAAAGTGCCAGTAAGGAACACCCAGCGTGCAGGAACTCCCTGGTTAGCACAGAAACAAGGGTTGTTATCCTTGCCTTGTTCAGTGGCAGTAGTGGAGGCCTTGACACCTGTACTCTTCATCTTTTGGGATAAAGGCCACATCTCTGTGCCCAGCCTTGCCAGTGCCATGGGGGGCAGCATTAGGACAAGGTAAAATTTCCTTCTGGGTATGGACGGTGGCTCCCTCCTGTGCAAGAAGGGGCTGAGCATGCACTGGTGCTTATGAACTGCTTCCAACTGTGCAAACCAGAAGAGCAAACTAAGTCCAAATTCACTGTCCTGTCTTTCAAGACCACCATGTCCTCCTTCCTCCCCAAATGCTGAGATGTGAAAAACCATGAAAGGCAAACCACCTCCAACATACCTTTGTTTTACCTTCACGACTGTGGCGTTTCACTTCAATGACGTGTCCTTCTTCATCTGATTGGGGAATTGTCACGTTGACTATTTTAGCATAGTTTGAAACTGCTCCCCTAGGGCGCAACCCCTAGGATAAACCAGCAGAGGCAATGTAGTCACTGCAGAGCCCACACACATGGACTTTACTCTTGCTTCGTCTGTGGTAGGTCTATACTAACCAGGGCAAACCTCTCTTCCCAGCATTGCTTTACCACATCGCAACCACCATCTCTGACTTCTCAAAAAGAAGCTTAGCATTTCCTTTTTCCATGTGGAGCAAATAAAGCTCATTGGGCAGAGCTACAGTCAGTCCCTATGGCAGCTAGAACAATCCCCACTAGTTCCTGTAAGTCCAATATTGGCATTTGTGACCAAACTGGGTTTACTTGATTAAGAATTCTTGATTTTGATCAATTTTTACAGTTGCAGGCTCTCTGAAGGTCAGTGAAGGCTATTCTGTTCTGCTTGTGACTGTATGAACAACTAGCCTAGTTTTACAGATGGAAGGAGGAGGAACAGGGTGAAGCTGCGAGGTAGCCTCCCAAAATGGCACTTCCCTCTAATGGTCTGGGCAACAACAGCAAAAAAAAGTGAAGTATGTAGTAATGGCAGAAGTCCAGGCACCATACCTGCAAATACCGGATCTTATCCTGTACTAAGCCTTGACACACGTGCTCCCTCTCGACTTCTTTCACCAGAAAAGCCCAGTATCCGCTCACAGCAGCACAAGCTTTAAGGGATTTTTGATCCAAAAGCCCTGAGAATTAAGAGGACAGAGTAGTGAACCCCTACCCATGTCAGAGGTCATCTGTGACCCTTAGGGGAAACCATCCTTGGAAAATTAGGGGAAGCTTTACCCAGGATGTACTGGGAGAGGTAAACTGGCAGGCAGCGAATGAAGTCCTTGTACTTGACATGAGAGAGTGTCTGGAGCGATGCAGAAGGCACAGTGACATCTCCATGGGCTAAGGATTCAGCAGGTGAGGCAGGTGCTGAATTCAGGCCGTCCTGGATGAGGCACTTGGTGTTTCGAGGCCATAAGCACACTGCTGGCATTTGATGACCTAGAACCCAGCAGAATTCACAGCCTTATAAGTGCTTGAGCTTAGGTGGCCATTAACTGTACTGTTGGTAGGAATATAGTGCAACAGTCTTCTCTTTACAAATGAGATATTTCCCCTCTTCTACCTCTGCTACAGCAGCCACCAGCACAGGAAGGTGTCTGTCCTAGACTTAAGGGAGAATATCAAAACAGCCTATGCCAAATACATCGATTTTTTTTTCTGAGTGGAAGACTCTTCCTTTAGCTATTAGATTTCCTCTAAGAAAAATAGGATTATTGTCATGACATTTTAGCAGGAAAGAGAAAAGGACAAATTTCTCTGTTTTTCCCTAGACAATGGAAAGGCGAATACAGCTTATGCCCTTCTCCCACCACTATTTTTTTCTGACATCCACATCCACCACTGGTATCTTTGCCAACCTGCAGCTCCCCATGGTGTAGGGCTCTCGTTGTTTTTAGGGGAAGCACCATACACAGTGCCAGGCTGTAGAATTCTGATTGTGCTGATGGAACATCTTAAACCTAAGTGAGGACCTTGCTGCCCTCAGTGGGCAAAAGGAGGCACACCATATCTCATCATGTCTAGGAGCATGGTCTCCACGGAAAGACCACCTCCTTCTGCATGTCACTGCTCTAAACTTCCCAGAAAAGCGTTGCCGTGCTTTTTTCCCCACCCTCCAAAATACTCAGTGGTACCTGCAGTACCACGCTGGGCAACTCCTGTGGATGCGCTTTGACTGTCACAGTGTGCAGAAGTGCCAGCAGGCTGAACTGGAAGTGGCACTGGGGAGCCGGACTGAGGACGACTGCCGTTGCTGCAGCTTCTTGGGGATCCAGGAGACGATCCGTCCACACCTTCCTCCTCTGCAATAAAGCAGCACAGAGCAGAACCTCACAGTCACAGTAGGCACAGAGGCGAATTAGGGGACTGCGTAAGTTAGAGTAGCATATTAAGCATCTAATAGGTAAATTACACAGTATTATTCATTCCATCCCTTCAGCCTACACAGATTTAGCCCCTTCAGTGCTTTCTTTAGCACGGTTGTCGTGCCTTAAAACACTCAGCTCACAACCACCCCTCCCGCGACGTGCTGCCCACAGCGATTCCTCCCGGGAGGTTTTTGCATCTCCCCACCACAGGCTGGGGTCCTCCTCCTGCTGGCGACCAGGCAGGACGATGAACCTCGTGTGGCCCTGGGGTTTCTCCCCACAGCCCAAACTGGAAGGCGCAGAGACCCCAAAACCACAGCAGTAGTGCTGTGAGGCCAACAAAGCCACACCAAGGTGACCGGGGGCAGCCTCCTCCAGCAGCCCCAGAGGGGACAGCAGCACCGAGGGGTCTGCCCTGGCACCCAGCTCGCAGCCCCCCACCCCTGCCAGGGGCCGGCCCCGTCCCCCGGTGGCGGCTCCGGGCCCCGCTCACCCCCGGGGCCCCGTTGCCGAGGCCGGGCCCGGCCGCGGCCCCCCCGCCCCGCCGCCGCCGCCATCTCGGGCGGCCCCGCCGCGGCTGCCAGGCGACCGCCGCCGCCTCCCGGCCCCGGGCTCGGCGCTTCCCTGCCCGGCTCCAGGGAACGCGGTGCGGGGCCCTGAAGCCCCCCCTCGGGTGGCAGCAGGGAGGGGACAGCCCCTGGGTGCCGCCTGGGGTCTGGTTCCTCTCTGGTTGTAGCACAACGCTGAAGGGCCGCTGACACCCAGCACAGGGTGGGCAGGAGGGAGCCAGGGGTGTTTGGGCAGTGGCTGTGTGAAGGCGCTTTGTTGGTTTTGTTTGGTCAAAAACACGCTCCCAAGCTTCCCCGGATTGAAGGAAGACTTCATTTAACGATCCCACGAGTTAAAAATACATAAAAAGAATAAAAATACATAAAAAGAATAAAAATACATAAAAAGAATAAAAATACATTAAAAAAAAGAATAAAAATACATAAAAAAGAATAAAAGCCGTGGCATCCATTGTTTGGGAGAAGGTGGGAGGGCTGAGGTAGGAAGGCAGGAGGGCTGAGCGGCACGGAGCAGGCAGCACAGAGCTGCGCCTCCCCCGGGGCTCACCCCACAGGGATGGGGGCACAGGGAGCCCCACGCACCCGGGGGCTCCCCCTGCACCCCACAGCTCTCCCAGTTACCGCGGGCAGGAGGCCCCATGGGGTGGGCACACGTTCCTTTTTACCAGGCAGCCAGGCCTGCAGCGGCTCCAGGCCTGCTGCACGCAGAGCAAACGTGCCCTGTGGAGACGGTGATTTTGGGGCCGCCATCCCACAGACACCCCCGTGGTCATGTTCATTGTGCAGGATTTTGATGTGACTGCAGGGCTGTGTTCCTGCAGCAAATCCCACACATGTCACCAGAACCGAGCACAGCACCGGGTGCCTCTGCAGGCTTGCTGGTCCCAACCGAAGCCTCACAACCCCAGCTACAGAGGGGCATTTCTCACCCTGCACACAGAAACGCTCCTCTTACAGCACTACCTGGGAAATAATTATGTTTTATTTTTGCATCCACGAGGAACAGCAGCACCCCTCACCCTGAGGAAGTGCTGCCCTGGGCTGGAAGAAGCCCCCGGCACCCCCAAGCAGCACCCACCCTGACCTCAGCCGTCCCAGAGCGAGCAGCCACATCTCCCCACAGTAGGGCTCCTGGCACCCCCTCTCCCTGCAGGAGCACCCCAGCAAGGCAAAACCCACCAAAGCCAGCCCTGAGACCCCCAAAAAACACCCTACATGCTGCTCCCTGCCCCTCTGCAGCAATCCTAACCCCCTTCCTGGGAGCATGCCCTGCTCTGCCAAGCTTCTTCCAAAAACCCCTGAAATGAGATCACAGCTACACGGAGCTGAGCCGCACCCGAAGCTGTTTGCCAGAGGTAAATAGTGCTGTGAAGGCCATGGGAGAAGCACAACCCAGCAGCATGCTGGCTTTCTTATCTGCTCTGCTCTGCTCTGCTCTCCCACACTCTCCTGAACCACAACAGCTCTGGGCTGTGAAGCAGCCCTTGTACTGGGAGCAGGTGCTCCTTCCCCAGCTGCAGCCATTTTCCTTGCCTGCGTGGTACCCCCCATAGCCAGAGGCTGGGGGTTCATGTTCTGAAGCAAGCAGTAAATTCCTGGGATACCGAAGATCCATTTGCAGTTGAAAGCCACGTCGGCAAATCAGCTGTAACCAACTGAATGTTTTCCTGGCACAATCCATCCTGGGATACACAGACACACACAAAAAACAAACAAACAAGAACGGTTGGAAGGGGGGAAAGATGAGGACCCCCACAGAAGGGATGTGCAGCTGAAATCCCGTACCTGCGAGGTTTGGGGTGGGAGGGCCGGGATGCAGCAGGAAGCACCCTGGATTCCTGGGGCTGGCCGGGGACTCTGTGGCACAGCTCCCGAATAAACCATTCGAGGTGCCCGGCTGTGCAGTGCTGTGGTGTGAGCCCGGGCAGGGTCTGCATGCATCCCACTCATTTTCCCTTAGGGATTTAAAGAAAAATACCTTTTCTTTAAAGTCCCAATGTTTCCTAATAAAGACTAGAACGTGCCTGGTGGCTGCCAACTCAATCCCTCATTGCATTGTAGGGTTAGTTAAAGATGTGGCCCCCCTTAAGAAGAAAGGAGTGACTTTGGTGCAATATTCTTCTTGCTTCCCAAACCCAGCACCCCTCTCCTACAGCACATTTCCCCCCACTCATCCTCTTTATGTTATGGTTGTCCAAGTGGTGGCTCACAAGAGTTTAATCACTGTGCATTGTGGTTGCTCACACAGCGCTGTGAAGGGCAGTGAAGGCTGAGCACCACCACCCTTACACCAAGAGGCACCACGAGTGTCCTCACAAACACCAGTCACAATAACTGTTTTTATTACAGAAGCTTCCAATCCCTCCCCAAAATCAGGTGCTGCCCCACTGAGTTCCAGAAGCTCAAGGCACAAGATGAGGTTCAAGCAGAGGGGAGGAAAAGCAGTCCTAGTGGCACCGGGACAGGAATGGGTAGGGCAGGGAGCCAGGATGCCCAGGGCCTGGTGGCAGGGCTGGGACGTGGTTCCTAGAGGAGCAGGAGCTCGAGGCCACCTCCTGCTTGTGGCTGCTGCCGTGGTGCTCGGGTCTGCATTGCTTGCTCTGCTTTGGGGAGAAGCAATGGCCCCGTCCTCCTCCCTGCTGGGACCATCTCCTCAAGGACATGTACGCCGTACGGCAACGAACGTGCCCAGTATCGCCTTCCTCTCTATCTTCCGCCACATGGTGAGTAAATCCATCTCCTTGGACTCTGTGGTGAGCTGGAAGCTGAAGCTCTGCAGCAGCGTCGTGAGGAAGAGGAAGAGCTCCATCCGGGCCAGCGCCTCTCCTGGGCACATCCGCTTCCCTGGGGGCACAGAGGGGGGGAAAATGAGCACGGCTTTGGACAGTGCTTGAGGGAAACGCTGCATTTGGGGGAAAAAGGGATGGGTCAGGAGCCCAAATCAAGGAGGGTGCCCGCCGACGTGCAGCTCTTTCATCCCCAGCAGACCCGGGCACCGCAGCAGCATTCACCTGCTGAAAAAGCCATGAAGGCCTCGTGCTTCCTGAAGTTGCCCTTCTCATCCAAGAAGTGGCCCGGGTCAACTTCTTTGGGGTTCTCCCACTGGGTTGGGTCCATGTGCACTGAAGACAACAGCGGAATAATGGTCGTGTCCTGCGGGAGAAGGGACGGGAGAGGAGAGACGTCAGCACCACGGCACGGGGCTCTGCTGAGCTGAGTGCGCAGCGAGGAGCAGCTGGGGTGCACGGGTGCTCCCCGATGCCCACCCACATCCCACAGCTGGAAACAGCCCCGAGTGATGGCTCTGCCCTACAGACTGTGCAGGCACAGTGCGGCCGGGTCTCACCCATGAGAAGGATTTAGCCCTGGCGTTATTCCTGGCGAGGTCTCAGAGCCCTCTCACTGCACAAAGCCTGAAGGAGGGAGGCTTCCCCCCAGGGGGGGAGCTGGCACAAGGGCAAATCTCACTCCAGCCCCGCTGCCGTCCTCCCACGGAGGTGCAGAGCACCCAGGGTCACCTTGGGGATGGTGTGGCCCCTGAACTCCACGTCCTGTGTCGTCATGCGAGGGAAGCTCTCGATGCCGGCCCGCGGGATGCGCTGCAGCTCGTGGATCACCGCGTTGGTGTAGGGCATCCTCAGCCTGTCCTCCATGCAGGGCGTGCGGACGGGGCCCACCACCGCGTCGATCTCCTCCTGGACCTTGGCTGGGGATAAAGGAGGTGCAGAGCTGCGGTGCTTTCCCTGCAAGGCCCCTGCTGATTTCTCTCTGGCCTCACACTAGGGCTAAGGGACAAGCTGGCAGAGGGGGAGGAGGCTGGAGCGACCCCTTGTAGGGACCAGAATTAGGGTCTCTGTCCGCACAGCTGCCTGGATGGGGTGGGATCAAGGCTTCTTGCAGGCCAGCCCAGAGCCATCCCTGCAGGCAGGGACGGGGAGGAGAGGGGAGGCCGGCAGGAGAGCCCCCTGTCTGCCTGCATCTCCCCTAATGGTTCTCACCTTGGGTGGCCACACCAAATTTTTGGGAAGTTTTGGTCTCTCCCCAGGTGGGCTGGGGCTCTGCCTGCCCCCTGCCTGCACTGCACAAGGACTGGCCATGTTTTCCTGCCCTTACCTTGAATATGGGGGAACTTTGCCAGCGCCAAGATGAAGAAGACCAGGGTGTTGCTGGTGGTCACCGTCCCGGCACCAAAGAGGTCGAATACTGACATGACCAGGTCCTCGTCGCTGTACATTTTCTCCACACTGCTCCTCTCCTGCAAGGGTGCAGCAGGGGGAGGGAATTCAGCCCAGTCTGGGTGATTTTCCCAGTTCCCGAGGACAGCCCTCACCCCCCTGGCAGGCACGGGGGGCTGGGGAGGAGCTGAAATGAGCCCTGGCACCAACCCTGGGAGCCTTCCTTGGGCTGTAAGGGTTAAGCCCCCCTGGGAACTGCCTCCAGCACCAAAACCCTTTGCACCAGCTCTACCTTCTCCGCTTTCATAAGGAAGCAGTCGATGTAGTCCCGGGGGGAGCTGGGGTCCAGCGTCTGCCTGTGCTGCTCGACCTGCTCTCGGATGTAGCCCTTGAGGTTCTCGCACTTGGCCAGGACTTTCCTGTGCGGCCCCGGCAGGCGGAACAGGACGCTGGGGAAGATGTTGTAGACCTGCAGCCAGAGAGGCACAGGAGGGCTCGGTGCCTGGCCGGAGCCCCCCACACCTTCCCTCTGCCCCGTCCAAGCCAGCCCAAAGCCGAGGAGCATCTCTGGGCTGCTGGGCACAGCAGGGGCACGTACTATGGCAAAGGGGGAGGTGAAGAAGCTGACAAAATTCCCGATCATGTCCAGCAGCTTCAGAAAGTTCGTGTCGCTGTAGCTGAAGTGGCTCCCGAAGACGACGGAGCAGATCACGTTGGCCACTGCGTGCCTGAACACCATTATGGGCTCAAAGGCTTCTCCTGCAGTGACAGAAGGGGCCAGAAAGACATCGGAAAGTCAACAGCTGGTTATCTGCTCTGACACAGAAAGTGCCCTTCGAGCGCTTTCTCGTAGCTCTGAGCCCTGGGTGACCGCTGGGTCTCACAGCAGCGGAGCCATGGGCTGCTCAGCCTCCCTGATCCTAAATCCCTGCTCGGAGCTGGGGGGAGGGAGGCAGAGGCACCCCCAGGTGCTGTGGGCTCCCACTGCTGTACCCCAGGGGCTCAGGGGCTGCGGGGACAGCACCGTGCTTCACACCCAGCCTCCACCTGCCCTGCTCTTGCCTAACGATCAGCAAGAGCCAGAGGAGGGGGGGGAAGAAGTTTGGCTCTGTCGGAGAGGAGCACATCACCCCGATAAAACCCATGCACCAGGGCACTGGTATTCACGCATTCCCAGAAATTTGGTTTCCTATTTCTGTTCTTTTGTCATGAAATATTCCTGAGTGGTCCCCCCCCATGCGCACCACTTCAGGAGCAGGATCTCCCACCCTTATCTCCGAGCCAAGTTCCTTTATGAGTATCATCCACTCTGGCCACTGCCCGCAGCCCCAAGGGCCACCCCTGTCCCATGTTTCATGCCCCCGGGGGCAGGCAGGACCCCAGGTCACCTTGGAGGCTCGCCAGCAGCTCCACGAGGTGCTGGGCCTCCTGCTGCACCCGCTGCGACATGGAGCTCTTCCCCATCCCGAAGTCCCGCAGCGTGCTGAGCGTGAACCTCCGCAGCTCCCGCCACTTCTTCTCGTTCTTGGTGATGATACCTGGGGGAGGCGATGGAGGCGGCTCGTCTGCCTGCCCCGGGGCAGTTCTGGGCTCTCAGCCCACCCGAGGAGCCGTCGGGTGCTACCGCAGGGACATCCCTGGTGTGCACAGCATCCTTGAAAGGCTGAGGATCTCAGAACAAAGCGGGAAGCCTGCAGTGATGGCTAGCAGGAATTAATGCTGCCCTCGGGCAGGAGACCCAATAGACGGAGGGGTTCTCAGGGTGGGAAGTGGAAATGAGAGATTCGGGGTGCTGAGTCCCTCCCTCCCCACCCAGCTGCCACGGGGGCCTGCTGCCCACCCAGGGAACCACGAAGCGTGCGCAAGCCCAGCCACCCACCGTAGTCGTTCGACAGATGTGCCATGAGGGGGATTTCAGGTCTGCCCCCGAACTCCTCGGCGTGGCCCAGCAGAGCGTCCTTCACGACCCTGTACCCGCACAGCACCACCGCCGGCGTGCGCCCCAGCCAGATGGTGAAGACGGGGCCATACCTGTGGCTGAGCTGGGGGTGGGGGAAAGCAGCCATGAGCGGGGGCTGCAGCCCTCACCCCTCACTGCTTCATGTCCCACCTCCCAGCATCGTCCCCACATGCAGCGGAGCCATGCTGGAAGGGGCAGCAGCACGGCTCAGCTAGAGGATTGGGGTCATCGCGTGGGGCCTGCTAATGGAGCAGAAAGCCAGAGAGAGGTGCTGGTTGTGCTCAAAAATGTGGGGATTTTGGCTTTTCTGGCAGAGCAGGAAAGAGAGAAAGGGGGGAAAGCGGTCACCTGTGTGACCCCCTTTGGTTTGGCGTGGGATGTGGGCGCTGCAGGGAGCTGTGAGCTGCTCTCTTACCTTCTCGTAGCTCTGGTGAAGTGGCAGGATGTCTTTTTGCCAAAGGTTACCCACGATGGGCCACGGGGCTGGTCCCGGAGGCAGTTGGCTGCTCCTCCTGTGGCTGCTCCGCACCAGGAGGCAAAGGATGGAGAGGAGGAGGAGGAGGACGGTCAGCAGCACCCCGAGCACCCCAGCCTCCATCCTCACCCAGTGCCGCCGAGCAAGGAGAAAATCAGAAAACTCCCTCCTAGGGGAAAATCAGGAGTGAGCAGCGAGGAGCCCGGCTCTGCCTCCTGCACCCTTCCCAGCACCCTATATAGGCACAGCCCCCCCCGTGTCCCCGGCGCTGTCCCCAGGGTCAGTGACACGGAAACGCTGCTTCCCCCTGGCCAGCTGAGACCTGGGGCTCCGTGTCGCAACGCGGGGCCAGGCGGGCTGCGGGGCAGCGTGGGCACGGTGCCGAGCCCCGGCAAAGCCCCCAGCCCATCGCCAGGTCATTGCTCCTCTTGGGGCTGCCTCGCTCAGTGCTGCAGTGACCGGGGGGACGTTTTGTAACAGGGGGACTGGCTTGGCAGAGCCCAGGAGCCATGCAGGCTTCCCTGCCTGTGCAGGGCTTCGCTTGGGGCTGGGTGGGAATTTCCCACAGAGCTCATTTTGGGTAGAAAGTGGGTCAGTCCTGGGGGTGAAAAATAAGCATGATTTTTCTGAAAGATTTTGGGTGTGCGCTTGTGCTTTGACACAGGGGCGAACATCAGCCCAGGATGCTGTGGTTGTTGCAGGTGTGGGGTTCACAGTCCTAGGGCTCCTCCGGCTTCTTTGGGTCTCCTCTGGGGACGGGGTTCAGCCTGGCTCTGAGCACCTTGCTCTGACACAAGCAGCTCTGACACCACGAGCAGCTCTGGCAGCACACCACACCTCTGGTCACCAGCTCTCGCAGCCCTCAGACAAACAAGCTCATCACAAGCCAGATGCCAGCAAAGGATGCCGTTCCTCCTGGAGCACAGGGCTGGAGGATAAGAGGCAGGACTGACTCGCAGCAGTCCCTGCGATGGAAGGAGACCCTCAGCAGAGGGCATTGGGTGATGCTCACCGAGGGGAGCCTGATCCGATGCTCGCCCCTGGCAGACGCAGGCAGCACCGGTGCACAGGGAGCCAGGACTGCGTTTGGCCGACAAAACCAGGCAGGAGCCCTGCTCTGCACCTCGGGGCCATGTGGCAGGTTCGCAGGTGTCAGGCTGGCAGCCAGGGATGCTCGGCACCGCCTGGGCTCCGGGCTGCTCTCCTGCGGCCGCAGGTTACCCCAGGCACAGACAGTCAGTGTCCGTCTGTCCGTGCCACCCCTGGGTGCCGCGGTGCCCTGGGCACGGTGCCTGCACGTGGGGAACTTTGCCCAGGGGCTGATGTCATGCCTGCCTCTGGCACAGGGGTGAACAGCCTCGCGGTGCCTTGCACGGCGTTGCCAGCAGCAGCACAACAATAGGGAAGGATCGTGAAACGAGAGGAAAGGAGCAGCCCCACTGCGGTGTGTGCTGCAGGTTAAATCCAATGGGAAGCTCCCTGCGCTGGGGGCAGCGCTCGGGCAGAGCCACCGCCACCAATGATGTTCCAGTGCAGCTCCCACTCGTTGCATTTCTGGAGTGTGAATGCCTCTATTGCTACAAAAATCATTAGTATTTCGTGTTTGACTAACAAGAGAGAGAAAATAAATGAATCACCCCGAGTGCGTGGTTCCAAGGCACCAGAAAAACAACAAGAAAAAGCTCCGAGAGGTGAGGAAACGTTGTCCTTTTGAGCAGCTTCCTGAAACTTTGCTGTTTCTCTCCATAATCTGCAGAATAAATTAAGCCAAAAGGCCCACCGGCTAGACTCAGTATCTCAGGTGTACAAAAAATAAAGGAAAGGTAGAAATTGCCAGCTAAATTTTTGGCACTAAATGCCACTTTGTCTGAAGAAAGCTCCCTGGGGAAGAGCACAGAGGGGCTCTGGTGCAGCCAGACCCAGAGTGAGCCCAAACCACTTCAGATGGACCCAAAAGCTTTGGTGCTTTTCTCTTTCTAGTGATTTTCTTACAAGGGCTTTTGGGGAGCAGGGTCTGTAGGGAAGCTGTCTGCTGCAGGGCTTTGGGATCCCTTCAGGAGCACTCCATGCGAATTTTGTGCCCCCAAACTTAAAATAGTAGGAAAGAGTAGAATAAAAATTCCCATGGGCTGAGCAATGTGACATAGCCAAAAAAAGAACTTAAAAAAAAAAAATCCACTTAGAGATTGCCAGGACCTTTGGAATTTAATTCTGTCCTGTTGCTGGATCTGACTCCGTCTCCAGGGCAGCTTCAAGGAATCAGGAGAAATGTTTGTGGGGTGTGTTCAGCACAGGTCTGTAATTGGAAGAGCCGCAGCTGGAGGCAAGCACAGCAACTCGGGAGCGAGAGGAGACGGCTCTGGGTAAATGAAGAAGTCGGTAACGCCTGGGTTATTAGATCTGGAGGAAATCACGGTGCCTGCTCCCATCCCTCAGCTGCTCTGCAGTTGGCATCGTGCTGCAGCGGGGAGGCGCAGGGCAGGTCCCGTGTCATGGGGAGCAGGACGGGGAGCGGAGCCATGGCACAGCCAGGAGCAAGGGCTCACGGCCACAGAGGCCGAAGCTCCAGGGCTGGAGACCCCAGGGGCACCTGGCCAGGGCGCTGCGCACGGGGCTGGCACCGGTGGCTCCGGGCCACGTCTGGTTGGGCTGCGATGTCCCCAAGGACGGGGTCTGCACAGCCTGGGCTGCCTGTTCCCGTGTCTGACCGCCCTCACGGCAAAACAGCAGAGCAAAATAGCCGTGCACAGCCCCTCCTTGGTTCGAAGTGAAGCTTTGGCTTCCCCTGACCTCACGCACCGCTTTGGCTCTGCCAGCTCAGGGTAAGCTGTCACACTGCATGCACTAAGGTAATTAATATCACCCTAATGCGATTTTCCCCTGCCAGCAGCCCAAAGCCTGGGCACGCTGGAGATGCTCTGCTCACCTCGGGGCCTCGGCTGTGCAAAGAGCAAACGTACAACCAGCTGCAAACCGTGTCACTGCCTCCCCTGCCCCTCTGCAGGAACAGGGCTGCAAAACCACAGCTGAGCTGCAGTTTCTGGTTGCTCTGAAGGACACAGCAGCACTCACTGCATCCCAGTTTGGCTGTAATTATAGGGTGAACATCACTTGTAACCACCCGTGCTCCATCCTGCTGCTCCCTTCACCCTCTGGGGGTCCCTGCTGGGCTTTGCTCAGGAGCACCCAGCCCGGGCTGTGGCTGTGGCCATCCCCCCAGACACCTTCCTGGCGCTCAGGCAGCGAGGTGAGGCGATTCCCACTTGCATTGAATGAATGTCAAAAAAAAAAAAAAAAAAAAAAGGCCATTAATCAGCATTTGCACAGAAGGAAAGCAAAGGCAGGCTTTGTCTGAGCTGCCCTGCAGGATCAATCATGCTCCAAAGCAATACCTATCAAAGCGGGCATGCCCTGCAGGCTGCTCAGAGCAGGCTTTGCCCTGGTATGATGACGGCACAAAAATCAAATATCTGCTGCTGCACGGCCTGAGACGCACCCGTAACCCACGTGCTGCCACATGGGAGCGGATGAAGCGAGTGGAGGAATTACCTACTGCAGGGACAGCATCACTGCTGCAGGAGATCAGTCCCAGCTCCCAGCTTGTGCCTGAGCCTAAAAATGTGATCAAACTTGTCAAATCAGCCCCTTCTTCCCCAACTGGGCAGGAGTGAGGGCAACCGTGGCCGATGTGCTCGGTGTCTCCTGCGCAGGCTCCGCTGGCTCAGTTACACGGCGTTAGTCCCTCCCTGAAGCTCCCCAGAGAACGAGGATTTCTGCGCTGCTTCTGCTGGCTCTGGAGGAAGGAGGGAGGCTGCAGCTCATGCTGGAGTCGTGCTTTCGGTGCCCCAGTTCTGCCCAGTGAGGGAGCCATCAGCTGTCCCTGCCCCAGCAGTGGCACGCACGGTCACGCCTGGCTTGCTCCTCATGGGCAGTCGCTCTTGGTTAACGTGGCTTTATTTTTAAGAAAGAGGATGCAGCTTTCCAGGGTGGGCTTGGAGGGAGCAAATCTTGAGCTGTGACCCCGGAAAACCAGCCGCCCCTTGCCGTGCTCCCATTTTTTGTTTTATGGGTATGGGGACAATGTTAGCGAGTTCTTAAAAAAAGCATTTAAAAGATACAGAATACATGGCATTTCTGAGTTACAACAGAGGTGCAGGCTGCAGTGCCTTGAAACCTTCCTGTCCTGCTGCTCGTTGTTCCTGCACTAATTATGGAGAAAGAAAAAAGTCCCCCCCTTCTCTGCCACCGTGCAAACACACCGCGTCCTTACCAAGGGCCTGCTGCCTCCGTTCCTTTTGCCTTGTGCATATGTCTATTTACCATATCTATAAAACTCTTTGCAATATGTTAATTCCAGGAAGGGGAAAAAATAGCACTTGCACTCAACTTGGTGCTTAAACCTTCCCCAGTGCATCTGTCGAGGTGGGGAGAGATCACTGCGAGCGGAGGGTCCCAGGGCTGTGCGGGGAGCCAGGGGGCTGCTTGTTGGGGATGGGATGTCCCTGCAGCCGGGATGTGACGTGCCCTGGGGACACGGAGAACCTCCACTGAGGGCTTTCCAGCCCTGGCTGGAAATGCAAACACCCTCGTCTGCATTTCTGTAACGGGGAAAACGTCATGGGAATTGGGCTCTGGAAGCAGCCCTCTCCCAGGGGCTTTAATCCTGGCTCCTGTGGCACCGCCGGTGGCACGCAGGATTTCTGCAGGAGCAATGCAGGAGGGGAACGAGGAGCTGGACCCACACCTTCACTCCCCACCTGTGCAGAGAGGGGCTGCTCGGGTGCCACGGGGCTCGGCACGGAGCCAGGGCAGCAGCAGATGGCCCCGGGCGAGCTGCTGCGGGGTGCAGCGGGGCCAGGCGGGCACCAAGGGCTGGGCGCAGCGGCGTGGCCGAGCCCTGCTGCTTGGGGCCGTGCTCTGCAGAGCCTCTCCGTGCCGGAGGGGCCGGGTGGTTATTTACACTTGTACAGGAATGAAGCCGAGAGCTGAGCCCGGTGCCAGCTGGGTTTGGGGAGCAGGCAGAGGGAAAAGGCTCGTGCCCCTACAGCAGGGACCCGGTGGGGGTTGCGGGACAGTGGGTGCCAGCACCGCATCCATCAGGGCGTTACCTCTGCCTCCTGGAACAGAAAACTGAGAAAGGTGATCAAAGCCCGTCTGCAGGGAGCTTCTCGGGGCTAGCAGTCGTGGTGCACAGCCCAGGCACAGGACCAGCACAGCCCAAGCAGAGGCACGGTGGGACGTGGTGTTTGTTCGTGGCACATTTCGGTGGCAGGTTGGTCACCGAGGGGCAGAGGTGGGTCAGGGGGGGCCTGTGGTGGACCTGTGGGTATGGGCAACTGGGACAGTGCCCTGCTCTCACTGGGGCTGTAGCCATCGTATTGTTTTCCACCGAAATGGGTTGCTTTGATGCTAATTGGCTGTGACCAATCTGGGCCAGCACTATCTGGTCTTGGAGGTTCAACAGAGCCGAGCTGTTGTCACCCCCGGGTAGCCCCCCCCCCTCCTCCTTTTGCCACGCCAGGAAAATGCTGCAATTAAATGTGGAAAAATAGAGGAAAGGAGGAGCCTGCACCAGCTGATGCCAGGTTGATGCCAGCAGCTCCCTGGCTGCAAAACATTCCTGGATCCTAAGGCAGGTTGTGCCCTGCCGTGAACTGAAAGCATCACAGCAGCAGCCTCTGCCCGAGCTGTCTTCAGCATAAATCTTCTCAAAGCAGAACGAGGAATCCTGGAGACACCCAAAACCTGACTCTAGAAATACCCTGGCAGGCAGAGGAGCCCGGAGAAGAAAGCAGGAGGGATTTGCTTCTAGAAGTCAGGGAGTTCCTACGTGGCAAGCCTGCTTGGAAGGGCTCAGATATAGGGGAAGGAATCCAGCTTCCCACTCCTTCTAAATCCCAGGGGTGCTTTGGAAGACTCAGTGCTGGAGAGCATGCGCTCCCTCCTTGCAGTTATATGGGAATGAAGCACGCCCCGAGCTGCAGCCTGCGTCCCCCAAATGGGGACCAGCCTTTTGGTCCTTGCCCTCCTGCCCCAGGGGTCCCCACTCCCCTGCCCAGGGACAGCCCCAAACCTTGTCCCTGAGGTGACACAAACGCCTGTGGATCCAGAGACACGGGCATGGGAAAATAGGGGAAAATCCCTGCAGGTGGCAGGCTCTGGTTGGCTTGGGGTGCACGGGGCAGCAGCCGGGGCCGGGGCCGTCAGCACCCAGCCCTCAGCACGGAAATGTTAGTTTAGGAGTGAATAAAGCCACCGGGAAGAATCCTACAGATTTTGCACAAAAATGGTAACGGGGGCGGGGGAAAGGAGGAAGGAAGGACCGTTGTTTGGCAAACACCCTCAGCCCACAAGCCTGGAAATGTCCTCAGATGCCACCTGGCAGAGGGGTGAGGGCAGAGCGCTGCGTGGTGCCCCGGCACCGCGTGCCCCAGGCTCTCAGGCCAGCTCTAATCTCATCCAGGTCCACCGGGGGCGGGTTTGCTCTTCATTAGCACTCCGCTTCTTGGCTTTTTCCACGAGACAAGCATCGATTTTTTTTTTTTTTCCCAGGTTTTCAGGAGCTGGAAGGAGCACGGCCAGGGCTTGATGCCTGTTTAGGAACCGCGCACCACGACCGTGCCCGGGTTGGTGCCGGTGCCAGGCACCGTCGGTGGCAGCGCTGATTTATTTGCAGGGCTTGTTTGCACTGAGCAGAACAGCAGCTGAAGCATCCGATCATCTTATTTTGGGGATGATGTGCACCTAACAGAGCTCATGGGAACTGCTGAACACCAGAAAATCCTTTCGGTCATAAAAGAGGCCGCTGTGAAGAGCCTTCCTCCCCCGGAGCCCCAGCCCTCTGCCCCAACACCGAGGCAGCAGCAGAGGCGCTGCTCTGTCGGGCGTAAGGGAGCTCCAGTTCCCCGGCCCCTTTGGGTGCAGTCAGGCACGGGGGTGTCCTGAAACAAGCCCACCCCCAAAATGCCCAGGGCTGTTACCAAAGGTGGTAGCATGGTTTCAAAGCGGTCTCACAGCCCCGTGCAGGGCCTATCCCCTGCAGCATGGCCGTGCTGTTCAGCCTTTGGGGTAACCCTGCTGTGCACTGCAAACCCAGAGCCCGCATCCCACCGCCCCCCAGCCCCCAGAGCAGCAGGACCTCAAGGTGTCCTGGCCCCCCCGGCTGTGTCCTGGGTGAAAAAGGCACCGCAGCCGTGCCCGGGGTGCAGTGAGGCTCCTGCTGCAGCTCCCCCCGAGCAGTGCAGGGGTAGGAACATCAGCCTGGTGCTCCTCCAGCACCCCAACCCCGGGGGGCTCCAGACAGCAGCAACGGGGGGTGCTGGGGGGATGCTGGAGGATGCTGGAGGGTGCTGGAGGGATGAGGAGGGTTGTGGGGGGATGCTGGAGCAGCGCTGGGGGGGTATGGGAGATGTTGTGGGGATGTTGTGGGGGTGCTGGAGGGGTGCTGGAGGGATGCTGGGGGTGCTGGGAGTGCTGGGGGGATGCTGGGGGTCACTGGAAGGATGATGAGGGGATGTTGTGGGGATGTGGGGGATGCTGGGGGGATGTTGGGGGATACTGGGGGGATGCTGAGGGATGTTGGGGGTATGTTGGGGATGCTGGGGGATGCTGGGGGGATGCTGAGGGATGCTGGGGGGATGCTGGGGGGATGCTGGGGGTCGCGGGGGGGGGTTGTAGAGTGTGCTGGGCGATACCAGGCGGTGCTGGGGACCGCGGGGGGGGGGGGGGGGCTGCCTGGCAGCCTGCCGGAGGGCTGCAGGAGGATGCCGTAGGGATGCCGGGGGTCCACGGGGAGGGCTGAAAGAAAGATGCCTGGGGGGTGGGGAGGGTCGCAGCCCCCTCCCCAGCTCCCCCCGCCGGGACTACATTTCCCAGCTCCGCCGCGGCGGGGGCGGCGCAGCGCGGGGGGGCCCCGCGCAGGCGGAGGCGCGGAGCCGCGCAGGGGCCGGCTGGGCTCGGCACGGCTCCGTTGGGCTGGGCACGGCCCGGCACGGCTCGGTTCGGCCGGGCGAGGATGCGGGAGGGGCGGTGGAAGCGGTCCTCGCCCCCCCGGGCTTCCGCGGCCGCGTAAAGGGGCGCCCGCGCCGCCGGCACCATGAAGAAGCAATTCAACCGCATGCGCCAGCTCGCCAACCAGACCGTGGGCAGGTGGGCACCGCACCGGCCCCCCCGCAGCCCCCCCCCCCACTGCCCGCACCCTCCCCGCCCACCCCGAGCCGCGGGGACCCCCCCCAGCCCCGCTGCCGCAGCCTGACCCCTCCCCCCCCAAGCAGCACCCATGGGTGCCCCCCCCCAGCCCGCCCTGCCTGGGGCCGGAGGGGTGCGCGGGGGGCGCGTTGGGTGCCTGCGGGGGGGCACCGCGGCTGTCAGGGGGCTGCGGTGCGTGCCGGGCCCGTGGCCGTGCGGGCGGTGGTTGTGTAATTCCCCGAGATTTTGCAGCGGTGCGGGGAGGGGGGGGGGGCTGGGGAGGGATTGATTTATTTTTTTTTCCTTTTCTGACTCCAGCGCGGCGCCCGGGGGGGGGTGACAGCTGCGTGACGGGCTGGGCTCCTCGGGGGCTGCCAGCCTGGTCGTGTCCCCATCCTTCCATCCACCCTTCCCTCCCGCCATCTGTCCCTCCCTCCTTCCATCCCTCCTTCCCTACATCCCTGCATCTCTCCATCCTTCCCTCCATCCATCTCTCCATCCCTCTTTTCCTCCATCCTTCCTTCCGTCCCTCCTTCCCTCCCTCCATCCTTCCATCCATCCTTCCCTCCATCTCTCCATCCCTCCCTCCCTCACTCCCTCCCTCCCTCCATCCTTCCTTCCATTCCTCCATCTCTCCCTTCATCCCTCCATCTCTCCATCCGTCCCTCCTCCTCCTCCTCAGGGCCACGAGCCACGGGTTCCCTCAGCCAGGACCCGGTAGGTGCGGGCGCGAAGGTCCTCAGCCCCGCGCCTCGTCCTGCGCAGCCCCGCACCGTGTGTCCCCAGCTGGGCCCCGGAGCCCCTCGGGCCGGGTGCCCTGGGAGCGGCCGGGGGGCTGTGCAGTGGTGCTGCGAGCTCACGCACACCTTCAAAATGGTGTCCGAGCATCCTTCCTTCCCTGCTGCCCAGCAGCCCTGAGCTCGGTGCAGGCAGGCGCAGCGCTCTGGGTGCCGGCGGGTTTGGGGATGCTCACGGCACGTGAGGTGGGCAGGAGCGAGGGGGCTGCGTGAGCCTGGATCGGTGTCCCTGGGATGTCCTCAGCAGGGACAAGGATTTGCAGCTTGGGTTGTTGCAGACGTGAGCAGGGGTGGTTTGTCCTCGGCTCGGTGCCGCGCGGCGCTGAGAGGCAGCCGGCCCCGCTCCTGGGTTTTTGGTGCTCTTGCTCGTGCAGGGGCTGCTCAGCAGGCGGATCGATCAGGAAGCCCTCCGTGCCCGGCTGCAGCTCGGCTGTCTTGTGACCGGCAGCTCGGAGGGTCAGGTCCAGGGCTGCAGGGCCACCGTCCCCTGCAAGTCCTTGGTGGGGCTGGAGACCACTGGGCCGTATCCTGGACTGGTGCTGGAGCAGCCTGCGCTGGGGGCTCCGCTGTACCGGGGGGGTTGTCCCTCGAGTTGCACAGGGGAGAATACCGGGGGGCCACAAAGAAGGTGGTGGAGAGGGTCCCCAATCCTTCCAGCAAGCCCCCTGTGGGGGTGGCCGTGCCCCCCATGTGTGCGCTGTGCAGGGGACAGGGGACAGGGGCCCAGCGGTGCCATCCCATGGCCACATCCCCCTGCCATGGGGTGTGCCTGGGGGGTGTCTGGGGGCTGCAGCCCCCCCCAAGGACGTCGCTGTGGTGGTGACGGATGGCTTGGGCTCTGTTTGGCACAGCCACAAGGCTTTTCTGTCCTGCCACCCCCTGGCTTGTCCCCTTCATCACCTCACCTGTCCAACACCTGAACAATGCGCCTTTTAATTGACTTGTGCTAATTTGAATTGACTGGCTCTAATGCAAGTCAAATAAAACCAGGAACTCCCCTCCTGTGCCCCCTCCAGGGAGCGGCAGCACCCAGAGGTGCGGCGCTGCCCTGCGGGACCAGGGCTCATCCCTTCCCCGGCACCTCAGGGCTTGGGAGTAGGTGGGATGGATGGGAGCCGGAGGGCTGTGCTGTGCCCTTTACTCCTTTATTTTGGTTGTTTAACTCGATAGAAAAAGGGGAAGGGCAGCAGCGAGGAAGGAGACGACCACTTGGCCAGGGCGCAGCCCCCTCCTGCTGCCCCCTCCTGCACCCCCGCCCCACTGCGCCCTCCGGCTTCCTGGGAGCTGGGGCGGCCACGGATGGTTCCTCGCAGCACCTTTTCCCAGCAGCATCACAAAAATAAGCACTTGATGTCACAGGAATCCCTGCTTTGGTGGTTAAGGAGAGTCGGAGGTCTGGGAACGCTTGTCCCAGCTCGGACACGCACCTGGTGCCCAACCTTCGGGAGAACTGCGTAGCCTGGCTGTGAGGCGCGTGGTATTTACCTCCATGGGGCAAAAAGAGGGAAGGGAAATTAGTAAGTGGCTGTAAAACACCTTGAAGATGCTGCCTGCAAAGTGCCACGTTTCTGGGTTATTTCTCTCTTTCCCCATTGCACGCGTGGGGCCACCGAGGCCGTCGGGAGCTCGCCCCGGGGCTGTTCCCAGAGCAGAAATTCGTCGGCTTTCCAGAATGTCTGAGCGCTGCCTTCGCCGCGCCAGGGAGAAAACGGGCAGCTGCAGCCTCATGCGAAGTGACACTTCGAGGTCCCTGAAGGCACAGCAGGCGACTGGGAACGTGCTCGATGGATGGGGGGGGGGGAAAGGGGACCCAGGGTGTGTGTCCTGGGTGTCCTGGGTGTCCGGGGACCGCGGTGGTGCTTTGGGGCGAGCGTGGGGCTGCCTGGGGTGCTGCAGGCTCACGCACGGTTCCTGGAGCTGTCGCTTTCCCTTAAGCACTGGGATGTCCCCGCTTAAACCCAGAGGCCTCCGGTACAGAAGGCTTTGCTCTGCCTGCGGCCTTGCAGGAAATAAGGACGGAGGGCGCGGGGATGCGCCGCGCCACCAGGGGTTTTCCCGTGGGATTTGCAGGAGGCAGCGACGAGCTTCGGGTATCTGGGTTGCACGCACGGGGTGTGGAGCCCTGGTGCCTGCGGCCCCCCCCTCCGTGGCCGTTCGGAATCACGGCCCTGGGCTCGCGGGGCTCGGGAGCTGCGCGGCAGCGGGAGAAGGGAGGTGCCAGCTGCGAGCGAAGGCAGGCGGGCGGATATTTTTATCCTCCTCCTAAGCCGGCAGCGCTGACAAATGGAGTGATGAAATATTAATGGAGCAGTCTGAATGTTTTGTCCCCAAATTGCACATAAATCACCGGCCCTCCCGTCGGCTCCCTGAGACCCTGGGGCTGGCAGAAGTGTTCCCAGTGAGTTTGGGGGGCTAACGAGGTGTTTGAGAGCATGGAAGGGATGAGCGGGAATGGGCGATAAACAACGTCCCCGTGGCTGCCCCAGGTTCACAGAACCTCGGTGTGGGCAGACGTGGGGCTGGAGGAGCGGCTGGGAAAGGCTGGGGGCTCCACAAGCTGCCCCAAATTGGGGTGCAAAGGTGAATGCCTTGAGCAGAGCTCCCCCTCCATCAGTCTGCGGGGCCGCGTGTCCTCAGCTCGCGCTGGAGCCGTTTGCAGGTGCTGGGGCCCCGCTGTCACGGTGCTGGTGCTGCCCATGCCAGACCCCTGCCTCTGCGCTCCTGGAGCCGAGCCGGGGCTGCTGCCGGCTGAACACAGCTCAGGAGCCCGGGGCATCCACGGCAGTGTCACCGCCTCAAGCGTGGTGTCCTCGTGGTGCTTGCTGCATTTTGTGTGCCTCTAAGCTCAGTGAAATGGGGCAGGTCAGGGCTCTGGGGGTCCGGACCTGAATTGCCCCATGGGTGCTGGCACCCAAAGGTGCACGAGGAGGTGCTGGAGGGAGGTGCAGGGCTCGGCACAGGGAGCAGAGGTGCTGAGCCCTGCTCTGAGGATGCTTTGCGAGGGCTGGGTCACGTCCGTGCTTTTTGGGACATGGCTGCTGGCCGTGGGTTGCCTTTTCTCAGCCCCTTGTGCACCGGCATCCCGGTGCCAGCAGTCCCCAGCCCTTTTCCTCCTGGAGGGGGAGCTGAGCCCCGGCCGTCCTTGGGAGTCAGTCCTTGGCCACCTGCAGCCTGCCTCCCCCTCGCTGCGGCCGGCTGCCGGGCTGTTTTGGGGCAGGAGCCGCAGCCCCCGCAACGGGCAGGGAGCAGCCCCCCCAGCTGCGTCCTGCACCCCTCTAGCCCCCAGCGCGGGCAGCGCCGCTCAGAGCACCCGGTCAGAAATTTGGTGACGATTCTCCCTCTGGGAGAAAACACCGCAGCTAAATCCTGAATGGGGTTGAAACGGTTGTGTTAAAGATGGAGCTCCTTGTGGTGGGTGTTTTATTTGTCCTAAAAGCCCATTCCGTGGTGGTGCTGAGTGGTGCGGGGCAGCGGGGCGCGATGCCCATGCATGGGGGTGCCGCACACAGGGACACGCATGTATTGGGGTGAGCGTGCATCACCCGACCGGCAGCAGCATTCCTGCATCCCTCCGAGCACCACGGCGGCAGCAGCAGGGCTGGGCTCAGCCCTGGGACCTGGCAGATGAGGGGCGGTGTTGGAGAAGCCGTCGTGCCCCTGTTCTGGTGGAAGTTTGTGCCACCCGGTCCAGCTGCGGCGTGGAAATCCGGGTGCTGGGGGGATGCTCGGGGGAAGCAGACAGCTCGCTGCAGCTCCTGAGGTCAAGGCACAATTTCATGTTGGAGGATTATGTAGTATTTATGTTTAAATCAAATTAATTTGCTTGATTGGTGTTGATTTCTACTGGCAGTGATTATTTCTCGCAGAAGCCAACGCCGACCAAACAGTGGCTGCATCCCCCCCTTGCTGGCTTTTAGCACCACGTATTAATTGTCCCCTTTCTCCCAGATGTTTGCGGGGACACAAGTGTCTGGATGATGATCGAGGCTGATAATTGCCTGGATTTGTGCTGAGAAAAACAGCTCTGGGGTGGGAATCTGAAGGAGAAGGGGAGGAGCGTGCTCTCCTTTGCCTGGTGGAAAGATGGAAGAAGGCACAGAAAGCCACTAATCCTGGCTGCCTGCCTGCAGGGTGCATGCAATGAGTGGGGTTTTGGGGCTGGGG